CACTACTACACGGGCTTCTACCTCAACAACAACGGCAGCGTGACCTTCAACGCGGCCACCAGCAGCTTCACGCCGAGTTCGATCACCGGATCGACCAGCAATCCCATCATCGCCGCCTATTGGGCCGACATCGACACGCGCGGGGGCGAGGTTGCGCCGTCGCCGGGCGGCACATCGACCGGCAGCAACCTGCTCTGGTACGACCTCGATCCCGTCACCCACACCTTCACCGCCACCTGGGACGATGTCGGCTATTTCAGCAGCCAGACCAACAAGCTGAACGCCTTCCAGCTCAGCATCCACCAGATCAACGTGGAAGGCGACTTCGACATCACCTTCCGTTACGAGAACATCGACTGGACGACCGGCAACGCGTCCGGCGGCAGCAATGGCCTCGGCGGCACGCTGGCCCGGGCGGGCTACAGCGCCGGAAACGGCGTCGACTACTTCGAGCTTCCGCAATCCGGCGACCAGGCAGCGCTGCTCGCACTGGAAAGCACCAGCAACGTCGGCGTACCGGGCACCTTCGTATTCTCAGTGCGCAACGGCGTGCCGACGGTCGGCGTCACCGCTGGCGACGCCTCGGCGAACGAGGGCAACGGCGGCGAGCCCAACTACGTCCAGCATTCCGGTCTTCCTGACCGAGGCTTCCACCTCGACCGTCACCGTCCATTACACGACCGCGAACGGCACCGCGCTCGCCGGGCAGGACTATGTCGCCCAGAGCGGCACCCTCACCTTCGCGCCCGGGGTGACGCAGCAAAACATCCTCGTCGAGATCATTGGCGATACGATCGTCGAACCTAACGAGACCTTCACCCTCACCCTGTCCGATCCGTCGGAGGGCGCGTCGATCCTCGATGGCAGTGCAACGGGCCACGATCGTCAACGACGATACCGTGACGACGTCGCTGTCGATCGCCGCCGCCAGCGCGGACAAGGCCGAGGGCGATTTGGGCGCCACGCCCTTCACCTTCACCGTCACCCGCGCCGGCGACCTGAGCGGCAGCACCAGCGTCGGCTGGGCCGTCACCGGATCCGACGTCTTCGACGCCGATTTCATTCCCTTCGACGAACTTCTGGGATCCGCCGACCTCCTTTCCCGGACCGCCTCCGAGCTCGGCGCCTACTTTCCCCAGATCCCGTCCGAAAACGACACCGGCCTTCCGGCATTCTCCCTCTTCGGCGGCGCGATGCCGTCCGGCACCGTAACTTTCTCCGCTGGGGAGGCCTCCAAGACCATCACGGTCTGGGTTCTCGGCGAGACGCTGGTGGAAAGAGACGAGAGTTTCCTGGTCACTTTGTCCAACGCCAGTGAAGGAACCGTCATCGACACAGCGTCGGCCACCGGCATCATCCGCAACGACGAACACCCCGATCTGGTCCTGTCCGGCGTGAGCTACACGCTGCCGACCGGTGTCGCGAACCTGCTCCTGATCGGGACCGACAACATCGACGGCACGGGCAACGACCTGAGCAACATTCTCATCGGCAATTCGGGCCACAACACGCTGAGCGGCGGCG